GGTACCAAAAGAGATCCCCTCGGCTAATCAAAATCACGTCAAGTGTTAATAACCACTTTATAAAGTCTTAATAAGACCACACTTGGAACATCACATCCAGTCTTGGTTGCCACGACATATAAAAAAGATGCTGAGACAGTGTGTAAAGTTGGTCTAAACGGGTTTTCACGCTTGCCTGAGTTAATTCTTCCATGAAACTCTTCACACTTCGCTGAATAGACACAGCCTCTGATCTCAGAAGCCGTCCAAGTTTGAAACTTTCAACAAGTAGAATTCTCCTATCAAACCAGGTTTTTTCTCTCTTTGCAAACCAGCTTTTCGTGGAAATTTTATCCAAGGGTGGATTTTGGAGCCGGTAAAGACTTTGCAAAGGAAACAAATCTTGTCTTCGGAGTTGCGGAAGAGAAATGGGGGGGGGGCATTGTTTATATTCTGGCTTCTCGTGAAATGATTTAAGCAGGCATGTTTTAAAAGAATTAGGATTGAAAAGATGGTTTGGGGGGGTGTCTCTCTTTGATTGTGTGAACGTATCGGCGCCTCTTTTGATCCAATGAAGATCAATCTAAGGCTATGATAAAGAGCTTTGTTCTGACCAGATCAAATTCTGATTGAATTCCCATTTCAAAGAAGGTGTGTAGGAATTCTAGCTGGGGATTTTAATACCCTCAGATTTTAGCATCCCCTTTATTTTAATTATTCTTTTCAACTTAAAAGTTTCTGTCTATTGAGGAAGTTCCTTAGTTCCTAGGAATTAAAACTGGACGAGAAGACCATGTTTGTTTCCATTATTCTGCTATTCTGTTTTATTCTATTCTTCTGTTTTATTCTGATATTCTGTTTTATTCTTTTATTCTGTTATTCTATTATTTTTTATTCTGTTGTTCTGCTCTTCTATTAAATAGCACTCAGACAAGAAACATAGGTGAATTCTGAATTCCTTCTCCATCAATCTCTGCTAATGTTTTTTTTTAAAAAAACATCTATAGGAGTTTCCAGGTCACTCAGGACACTAAAGCACAGTTTAGCAAACCTTGACTAATTTACAAACCACGATTATAAACTTGATTCCTTGCATTATTTCCAAAACAGGATTGGAAACGCACAACTGCCCGTGCAAAACCGGCTACCTTAATGTTGTCATTTCGGTCAAACAACCAAACTAAAAACTCCCCAGTTGTGGGTGGCTGCTCACACTGACAAAAATACACAAACACAACATCGTCTGGCTACCTACTGAAACAAACGCCGAATAAGTTGTGCATTTTTTTATTTCTTAGGCAGGGCAGGCGAGGAAAAATATTCTGAATATCCTGGCTGAAAATGCAAAATGGTCAGCGAAACTTTGGATTCTGCAAAAAAGACACTCTTCCTTTGGACACTAAGAGCTGGATTTGTTTGAACGCCAGTTCTTGAAAAACATCTAAAAAGCGAGATTTTCTGCCCAAGATCCCAACCCCAAAAGGGAAATTAGATCTGAAAACTTTTTTTTTTCTTTCTTGTTTTGCTCGATTCCGTTTCTTTTGCTCAACTGCCTCTTTGAAAACCCCGGTTAGCACATCCTGTCCCTTTGCAAAGCCATTAAAAACCGCAATTAATTGCACAATTACCCTGAATTAAACGTCTCGGTTTGTCTGCCTTCGACCTTCAGGTTGGGCCCAAAATTTCATGCTGGATGTGACGCAATAATCATAGTAATAATGGTGGATATACTTACCCCAGTTTTGCAGAAACAGCCCCAGGACCATCCAGCATCTCCACGGCAGCATCGCCTGCCAACGGCCGGCTTAAAAGCCCCCCCCCCCAAAAAACTCGCTGGCGATTCTGCACCCCAAAAGCAATCCGAAACACGATTCAGCCTGCAAACTTTCTCTCTGGCGAATAATCCTAAGAATGGGGTCCCTGGTCTTTGCCAGCAGCCCACCCCCCACCCCACCCTGCTCGGTTCCGCTAATTCCCCAATAAAATGAAAAATATTAAGTCTTTGGTCGCCACTTTGTCCCCAACCCATGTGCCTCCCTTCGCTTTGTGGACCCTCACCCCAAATTTTGAGACCCTCCTCAATCCAGCCTGGGGAAGCTAAATTGGCCGGCTTAAAAATCCCATTGTCTGCCCTTTGTGACCACCGGTGTCATTGATATAATCGGAGCAGGGTGCGAGGAAGGAGAAGGAGGAGGAAGGGGGGGATTGGGTCTGTGAGGGGGGGGCAGAGCTACCCAATTGCATTTGGCTTAAGAGCCCCTCCCTCTTTCCTCTCCCACCCCTCCCTCTCTCCCTCCCTCCAACGGATCCTTCTTTTCCAACTTCCCAAGGCTGGATAATTCAGTAGCATCCTTCGCACTCGTCACCTTGCCCTAAGGAGAACTCACCTGGCCTCTCACCTGGGTGTTATTTGCATGCAGAAGAGAGGGGGGTATTTTGGGGGGGGGGAGGAAAACACCCTCCCCCCCAAAGGGCAACCAACTGATGGACTGATCCACAGCTGAGGCTGGTAAATAAAACGCAGGCAGTCCTCGGCCCACAACGGTTTATTTAGGACCATTTTTTCACTCTTACGACCGTTGCAGAATTCCCTGGGATCAAAATTCGGACGCTCGGCAACTGACTCATATTTATGACGGTCGCAGCGTCCCCAGAGGGGGGGTCCCGCGATCCCTGGATTAGAAAGCCGCCTGGGGCCTTGGCAGCGCAGTCTTCGAGGCCAGCCCCACAGCAAGGGTCCTGGAGTAGTCCAGCTGGGTGTCTTTCCACCCTCAAACGGAAATAAAAATCAGAGGGAAAAGCGGCTTTACTCGAATGCTGTCCCAGGTACTGAAAATGTCTGGCTGAGCCTGGAAAAAAAACAGGGAATTCTCTGGGTTGTTTGAGCCTCGAGATGGATTTAAACGTGAAACATTTAATTGCCTTGAGTCCCCCACTTTTTATTTAAAAACAGGCAATTTTTCAAAGCCAGCCACGTCTAAAACCCCAGGTTTGGGGGCAAACCGAGTGGAGAATACGGTTTATCAGCAATGTTTTTATTGTACATTATTTTGATCCAAAGCATCGCTATAGGTTGGCACAGCCTTTTGTCCTGAATGGCGTAGGTAGGATTTCCTGCTCAGGCAGGGGGTTGGACTAGATGCCCTCCAAGGTCCCTTCCAACTCTTTGTTATTCTGTTCTCTTTCAATGCCTTTGCTTGATGAGGCTGGTGAGCTGCTGAGAATTGAACACAATTGAACAGACACACACACACACACACACACACACACACACACATAAAATGTAAAAAAACCCATGATAATGCTTCCATTTTCAACGAAGTGGGGAAGAGTCAGAAAGTTCAGAAATTGCTTAATGATCACACAAGTGTTTGAGTTTAAAAGCCTTGCAAAATGGCAGAATTTGCAATCAATGCAAAGGTTGCAAAAAAAGGGCACACCTTGCAATTAATGCAACGGTTGCAACCCTCTGCAAAAATCTAGCCAAATACAAACTTTAGTTGCAGGCTCTCTGGCTGACCTGGGTTAACGTGTCCTGAGAATGCCGTTGTTCTTCTCACTGTTGCAAGTTGCAGCTTTGGAACAATTGGGGAGACCTCCAGTGGACACAGAGAGAGAGAGAGAGAGAGAGAGAGAGAGAGAGAGAGAGAGAGAGAGAGAGAGAGAGAGAGAGACCCCTCCCCAATTTAGCAGCAGGAAAATATAAAGGGGCTGAGAGAGGTCCTTCCAGCTTCCCTCCCATTCCTAACCCCCCCCCTTTTTTTTTCCAGCTCCATCCAGTTATTTGGGGAGGGGGTGTTTGAATGGGCGTGCAAGGCTGCCCCCTTCTTTTTTCCGCCTTCCTGGGTCCATTCATGGTGTCAGTTACACGAGCCGATGGCCCTATTCTCTAGGCACAATGGGGCACCCCCCAACACCCTCTCTTTGTAGCCAGGGAGAAGGGGAGGCAGCTAGGAAGACAATACCCAAAAGGGGAAGGAGACCCTGTTTCTCTTACTGGTACCCCAAAATTGCAAAGAGGGGGGGTGCAAGAGAGAGAGAGAGATAGAAGGGTGAAATGCAAGCAAGACAGCTCCTGATTTTATCAAGCTAGCAACCCAAGCTTTGGGCCAGTTTGAAAGTTGCAAAACGGTCAAAATTTGCATCCGGTTTCCGGGAAGCTGCTTCCTTCAAAATCCTCTATTTCCCCACCCCTTCCTTTGGCCATGCAATGTACAACCACCCTGCAAGGCAGGCCACCCAAGGAGAGGAAAACGGCTCAGGCTGTGGAGGAATTTTGCATTGCCTCGTTTCGAATTAGGCAACCTTACCAATCTATAATCGATTCATTGATTAACTTGGGTGTCCGAGCAGACACTATCGCTGGGTGGGGAGGGGGTCTTTCTCCAATCTTAGCGTATTTTTTTTTAAAAAGGCATTTTGCAGAATCGTTATTCTGTTAAGAAAAATAAAAACGAAATACAATATAAACTAATATAATAAATAAAAGGCTCGCATAATAAAAACGTGATGTGTGTTATTTCCGTCACGTTAGTTTTGCGTTCTCTTGCAATTTTTTTTTTTAAAAAAGAAGTATTGGGCAGAATCGCTGTTCTGTGAAAGAAGACAAAATATAAAATATAAAATATAAATTAGTAAAATGTGATGCATATTATTTCTGTGTTCCCTCGCATTTTTTTTTTAAAAAAAGAGGTATTCAGCAGAACGGCTATTCCATAAAACCCTGAAATAAAATAAAACCTTAAAATATGATGTGATAAACGACTGCTCTATTCTCTCACATCTTTTTTTAAAAGCATTGGGCAGAAGAGTTGTTCCATCAAACACTGAAATAAAAATAGCAAAATAAATTAAAATTACGTATCTGTATAATGCGAAAGAATGGAATAAATTTGACCATTTAATAGTAAATGCACTTAGGTGAATAAGGGAACATTTAGAACAGTGTTACTCAAACTTTAAGGGACTTCAACGCCCATAATTCCCCAGCCAGCCACTTCTCAAGAACAAGAGCCAGCCTGTCAAAAGTCAAAGTCTCTTTATTCCATCAAAATACCCCAAAATAAAATAATACAAAAAACCCCAACTTTGAAACAAGACATTATGGCTGGTTTAAAAGATCTGGCAAGGCACGTGGAATTGAAACCGAATCACCCCATCCGATATATCACGGTGAGCAGCTCTGGATAGATTTATCTGGTCTGACCAGCAAAATTGAAAAACAAAAAACAAAAAACCCAATGAAAACTGGCCTTGCAAGGTAGACCACTGATTGCTTTGTTGGTGTGTGGGGAGAAAACAGGGGCTCCTTTAGAATCCAAGGTACAAAAAAAACCCAAAAACTGGTTATGTCAGCCGTTTCTGACTTTTGCATAGCTATTAAGAGTGAATCAACCAGTTAACAAATTTATACCCCCAAATTGGATAGTTGATTAAGTACAAATTCATGACACACATCCCTAAAAAAACAAAACGAAACAAAACAGATCCCTTAGCTTATGACTCCTATCTGGGCCTCAGTTTCCCTAGTCTTTAAGATGGGTCCAATCTCAAAATCTATTCAGTCCCCAAAACTGACTCTGAACTTCCCAAACAGGAATTAAATACAAATGGAGGAAATTCAGAGCGTTCCAATCGTTCCCGGCTTCAGGGACACCCCAAAAATGGGGATTTTTCAGAGAAAAAAACCACCCAGCCCAGAGAGAGAGGGGGGACCATGGGGGGGGGGTCAGACAAAAAAAAGGAAGACTTGTAGGTTTTAAAGACCCAGCAAAAAAAAAGAAAAAATAGAAAAATTGGAGAATCCAGCCTCAAATTGTAAGGACCACCGCGTTACAAGGAAGACACTTCACCGAGGTTGTGTGAAAATGGAGGCAGAGGAAGACAGATATTCCTCAGTTTACGACCAATCGCTCAGCGTCCCACGTTACGACGTAAACATCTCCAAAAAGGTCCAGTTTCAAGGTTATGATGCCTCCTGATCGCCATTTATGACTTTTTGTACCTGGAAACTGAGGTTTCAATTCTGGTTTCAGGGCCCCAAACCGCTCCGTTGGGCAACAGACTCACTTAATGACAGCAGAGCTCACTTTAACAACCGCCATGGAAAAAATGTCACAAACTCAGCTCAGCCAGTAAATTCCCAGCTCTGTGACAGTCCTATGGCGAGGACTATATGTAATGCACACATGCACACACACAGCCAGGATTGTCCAGTGCAACAGAGTCCGGATTTTGCCCAGGGATGGAGAGCGGGTCCGTTACAGGCGTAGCTCTCCCACGGCGATCTTCTTCCAGATGTCCGGCGTGAGAGGCGCATAGGTCCTCGCGGCAACGTCCAGCACGAACAGGGGGTCCGTGATCCGGGTGGGGTCAAACCCTTCCTCCACCAGGCGGAACCGTTTCTGCTTGAAGGTCTCCGTCATCTCCAGCTGCTTCTGAATGGAAGGAAAGTCAGACCCTCATGAATGGGCGGCCAGATCTGGGCCTCCCTCGCAGGGCCGTTGTGAAACCAGAAAGCAAAACCAAACTGGAGGCTTACCTGGATTCGCAGGAAGCGAGGCCAGGCGTACGGAGGGAGCAGCTCAGCCACCTGCTTGTAGATTTGGGGGCCACTGAAGTCGGCCTCCGGCTGCAGCACCAAGGTGGCCATTCCTGCCCGGCCATCGTGTCCTGGAAGAGAATGCAGACAGTCCTCAACTTACGACAATTCGTTTAGTGACTGTCACAGCATCCCCGTGGTCACAGAGTCAAAATTCCAGAGCAAAGCCAGGAAAATCAGTACTTCCATGACATGCATCTTTATGAAATAAATGTGCCACTTTCCACAAAGGATGCAGAATAACAGAGTGGGAAGGGACTTAGAGGTCTTCTAGTCCAGCCCCCTGCTCAAGCGAAAGACCCCATATATTGCCTATACAATTGTCTAGAACCTCTTTGTTACATACAAAGGAACATATAGCCGTTCTACTAAAAACCAACAGCAACAAATAAGTAACAGCGAGCAATGTTAGTTTTATTTTGTGTATTTAATTTATAGGCCGCCAATTTCAATGAGAAGGCAACTCGGGGATCATAACAGTTGCCAGCTGCTGTCATTCCAGCATTTTTCCATCCAAGAAATTGCGTTCGCAGGACTGGGCAAGGAGGAAGAAAGCTGGATCAGAACTTGGGGAGATATTTTATTTTTTTCCTGATTTTCCTAACGCTTACCTGGGACGATCACACCGTAAACCGTGACTTCCCTCAAACTGTCCAACTTGCTCAAAGTCTCCCCGACTTCTGTCGTGGCCACATTTTCACCTTTCCAACTATGGAGGAAGGAAAAAATAGTGGGAAGTCAGAGAAGATATATATATGCAAAGCCAGGAGGGAAGATTTGCAAATTAAAGGGAAAAAACAGTCTTAACTAGAAGATCAGGAATGACTGAACGGGTTTTTCAGGATTTTTTATTTTATTTTATTTTTTATTTTTTTGCATTTCTGGTGTTGAGTGGCCGATTGATTTAAATAAAAAATGGTGATTTGGGGCTTTGGGCTCTTTTTTTTTTTAATTTGAAGCGAAGAAAAGTCCCCTTCGGACCTTTTTTTGTTTTTTGTTTTTTAAATTGAAGCTCATCAAATCCTCAGTTTTTTTAAGGGAAGGGCGCCCTCGTGTGGCCAATGCAGAATATGACGCAAGGCAGGAATTGCCTTGCACTGTCTTGCACTCTCCTACGCCCTAGAGGTGGCAAAGCCCATCATCCCTGATCAGCAAGGGAGTGGAACATGGGAAACGTGAGCCAGGTTTAGAAAAGAAGCCTACCGGTAGGTGTCTCCCGTACGGTCCCAAAAGCTGACGAACCCTTCGCCGTCTTGCACCATCAAGTCCCCGGAGTTGAAATAAACGTCCCCGTCGGCAAAGACGCCATGCAGCATCTTCGCCTCGGTCAGTTCGCGCCCGCCGGCGTATCCGAGGAAGGGATTGCGTAAGGTGACGGGCGAGACCAGGAGGCCCGGTTCCCCTGCAAGAGGAAGAAACGGCCCAGAGAGTCCTCGGATTAGGACTCTTTCTTTCTTTCTTTCTTTCTTTCTTTCTTTCTTTCTTTCTTTCTTTCCTTCCTTTTTTCTTTCTCTTTTTTCTTTTCTTCCTTTCTCTCCTTCCTTTTCTTTTTTCTTTCCTTCCTTCCTTTTCTCTCCCTTCTTTTTCTTTCCTTCCTTCCTTCCTTCTTCTTTCTATTTCCTTTCTCTCTCTCTCTCTCTCTCTCTCTCTCTCCCTCTCCTTCCTTCCTTCCTTCCTTCCATCTGTCAGAAATTGTGTAGGGTTTCCTGCCTGAGCAGGGGGTTGGACTAGATGGCCTACAAGGTCCCTTCCAACTCTGTGATTCTAATTCTAATTTCTAATTATTTATTATTAAATTTATTGGATGCTCATCTTTATCACAGGGTAACTCTGGGTGGCCTTAAAATATTAAACAAACGCTTTAGCAACTGTTCAAAGTTACAACGTCACCTATATCCACCCGCTGGCACCGTCCGGCCTTGTCTCTAAGTGGAGCACCTTGGACAGCGTCAAAACGAACCAACTCAAAGGGACTGAAGCACTGCGGGGAGGGAAAAAAATCACGGTACAATTAAAAACGAGATATTTTTTTCCCCAAAGTGCCTCCCTACCTTTTCCAGGAATGTCATGATGCCCACCTTATAAATCCAGGAGCCGCGCCCCACGGCCCCCACCCTGCCAGTGTAGTTGAACAGTGTGACGTTCCCTTCCGTCATGCCGTAGGTTTCCACCACTTTGATGTTTCCGAAACGGCGGAGAAATTCGCGCCAGACGTCCGGACGCATCCCGCTGCCCATGGCCATCCGCAAGGAGTGCTCCCGATCAGCCGGGCTCTGCGGGAAAGAAGAAGGAACACAGTGGCACAACAGGGAGGAAGGAAGGACGGAAGGAAGGAAGGGAGGGAGGAAGGAAATGGGAAAATGGCAGAAATCCCAGCATATCAACGTTGGCCACCAGAGGGAGACATTCAGATCCACCTTTTTCCCACGCTTACCTGTGGCTGGTTGACCAGGTACCGGCAAAGCTCTCCGATGTATTGGAAGATGGTCACCCCATGAGCCCGACAGTCCGGCCAAAACTGGCTGGCTGAGAACTTTTTCTTCAGCACACAGGTGCCACCTGGCAAGAAACGGGAATCCTTTTTCCAAAAAAGCTGAGCAAGGCTTCTAGTCCTCATGACTTTTAGAAAGTCCTCTTTTCATTCTTCCCCATCGACCGGCAGGAAGAGTCACCTCGTTAAACCGCAATTTTGACTATGACAAAATGGTATTTGGGATGAAAAGGGAATCCCTTGGCTGGGAAGCAGGTAACACTTAAGTAGAGCCTCCAAAGCCACGAGCAATCTACCCCGACTTCTAGAGGGGAGAAGGAGCAAGGGATGGAAGACGCTTCTCTGCCTTGCCTGACAGACGGCAAAGCTCCTGCACCTACCAAGGCCAAATGTGCCGAGGATGCCCAGAAGGCTGCCGGACATGTGATACAAGGGCAGGGTCAGGTAAATGACGTCCGAGCTGCAGGCCCCCACCAGCTTGTAAAACCCTAAGGAGAGGATGGTCTTGAAGTGGCTGACTCGGGCAGCCTTGGGGAGGCCTGGAGAGGAAGGGAGAAAGCAAAGGAGGAAGGGAGAAGAAAGAAAGAAAGAAAGAAAGAAAGAAAGAAAGAAAGAAAGAAAGAAAGAAAGAAAGAAAGAAAGAAAGAAAGAAAGAAAGAAAGAAAGAAAGAAAGAAAGAAGAAAGAAAGAAGAAGGAAGGGAAGGAAAGTGAGTGAGGGAGGGAGGAAGAAAGGGGAGAAAAGAAAAAAAGGAAAGAAAGGGAAGGAAAGAAGAGAAAAAGGAAAGGATGTTATGTTTTTAAAAACATTGATTGCTACACAGTATTTGTGCTTATGAACTCAACCCACAACTTTGCCCTAAAGTAGCAAAACAAACCAAGGCAACATAGACACAATTGTTCTTTAAAAGATGCGATTTGGGGATGCATCAAACTTGCTGCTGCCTTCCTAAGGCCTCACCCCCCCCCCCCATCCTGAAGCCCTCCAGAAACCTCTGCCTCCCCCCTCCCTGCCCTCTCTATCTCCCCCTCCCACCTGTTGTCCCGGAAGTGAAGATGTACAGGCAGGTGTCCATCAGGTGGCGCGGCGTGGAGAGCTCGTAAGGCAGGGGCTCCTCAGAGGCTTCCTCCAGCAGATCCTGCAGGCTGATCACGCCCGGTGGATAGGGCCCCTTTCCCATCACCCAGACCCCAATGCCCATCTCCTTCAGGCTGGGGAGGATGGGCTCCACGGCTCCGAACAGCTCTGCAAAGATTCAGAGAGATTTTGGGGGGGGGGGTTGTCAAGCTCCTGCTGTGACTTTGGGCCTCTCTCTGTCTCTCTTTGCCCTAAGCCTGGCCTGCTCTGCAGGGTTGGTGTGACCAGAGGGGAAGAAAGAGCAGGAGGGAGAAGACAAAATCGTGCCTCCTGATGGAAAGATGGGATGGCTCAGCCCCATGATCCCCTGCCTCTGCCCCCCCTCTGCCCTATGTCAACCTGGGGACCCCTGCAGGCCTCACAGCCCCAGTCCCCATCCTCCCCTGCTTCCCCCCCCTCCAGGCTCGGTCGACCCAGGACCACCGGTGGGAGGAGCGATTGAGGCCTCTCATCCCTGGTCCCATCGTCCCCTGCCTCCCCTGCGCAGGGCCTGGAATCCCCAGCCCACCGTGCCAGCTTCCCTCCCTCCCTCCGGGCCCCATCCTCCCCGGCCCCCTCCGCTCACCCTGGCTGGCCAGTAGGGCTCGGGCGCGGCAGGCGCGCAGGCAGTGGAGGAGGGCGGCGGGGCGCAGCGCGGTGCCCAGGAAGGCGGGCCGGGCGCCCAGCTTGGCCAGCCCGATCCAGGCCCAGACGAAGAAGGGCTCGTTGCCGGCCAGCAGCGCCGCCGTCCGGCCGCCCAGCCCCGCGCCGCGCAGCGCCTGCCCCAGCCGGTTGCTCTCGGCCTCCGCCCGCCCGTAGCTGAAGCTGCGCCCCTCGCAGCGCAGGAAGGGCCGGCCCGCGCCCCCCGCCGCCGCCGCCAGCCGCCCCCAGCGCTGCGCCACGCTGGCCCGCCCGCCCGGGCCCAGCAGCAGCCGCGCGCCCAGCGCCAGCGCCCGGCCCACGAAGCGCAGGTCGGCCCGCGCCCGCGCCCCGCGCCGCCCCGGCCCCAGCCCCGCCAGCAGCCCCAGCAGCCCCGCCAGCAGCAGCAGCAGCAGCAGCAGGAGCGCCATGGCCGAGCGGGGACCGGCCGGGTGGGGGGGGGGTGGCTGCCGGCCCCTCTGCGCGCTCAGCCGAGCGAGCGCCCCCCGCCGGAGCCGCTGCAAGGAAGGACCCTTCTGCCTGCCTGCCTGCCTGCCTGTGTTTGTGGGTGTGTGGGTGTGTGTGTACGCGCAAAGGGGGCGGGTGTGGGTGTTTGTGTGTAAAGGGGCGGGTGTGTAAAAGGGAAGGGGGGGCTCCCACGCTCGCCCCCTCTTCTGCGTAGCCCGCCAAGTTTTAAGATCTTTTCGAGGGAGGAGATGCTGAGACAGGAGAGAGAGAGAGAGAGAGAGAGAGAGAGGGAAGAAAAGAGAGGGCAAGAGAGAGAGAAGATGGGGAAGGAAGGGAGTGGGACAATGAGAAAGAAAGAAAAGATTAGAAAGTTACAGAGGGAATGAGAGAGGGAAGAAAAGAGAGAGAGAAGATGGGGAAGGGAGTGGGAGAATGGGGGGGGGACTTGGCACCCCGCCAAGAAGACTCACCCCCTTGGGACTGCCAGGGGTCATTTGCACCCCGTCCCCAAGGAGATGCCCCAAAGCAGGCCTTGTATCCAGCCCAGAAGGACCATCCACAATCAGGATCCGTCCTACTTCGCTAACTAGCCCAGGATCATCACCATAAGCTGTGGTTTGTTTTGAATCACGGCTAATTGACAGCCCCCTCCCCACCAAGACAAAGTGGGGGCCTTGCGGGGGTCCCTCTTGGCAGGAACATCTGATTTTCGTGTTGACCGTGATTAACGCCCCCCCCCATTAACCCATTAAATCCCTGCTTAACCGGTGCCAAAAAAAAAAAGGCCCAGGAATTAATTGTGGTTTCCCGGCTTAAACTTTCCCCTACTTTGCAAACGTGCAAAGCAGCCGCTGCTCAAATAAATTTCACCCTCCTGGTCTTTTCCCTACTGACCCAGGGGGTGGGGTGGGGGTGGGGGTCCCTGTCTCCAAATCCTATGAATTGCAGATGTTGAAACACACAGACACACAAAGATGGAAGTGTTGGCAACAAAACATCCTCCTTTTTTGCCCTCGGGCCACAACACACAAGGAGGCGGGCGGAAAATAACGAGGCCAGGAATACTGGAAGACAAGAACAAAACAAAATCAGCCCTTTTGTTTGAAGCCTGAAAAACCGCAGGGGGAAAAAAAAAGTTTTTTAAAAAAATAATAAATTCAAATTGAGGAGAAAAAGAAGCCAGAGGCAGCATCGGTGGTGGTGGTGGTGGTTTTAAAGAAAAAGAAACTTTAAAGCAGTGTTTCTCAACCTTGACCATTTTAAGTCATGTGGACTTCAACTCCCAGAATTCCACAGCCAGCATTGCTGGCTGTGGAATTCTGGGAGTTGAAGTCCACATGCCTTAAAATGGTCAAGGTTGAGAAACACTGCTTTAAAGGGATGTTTTGGTTAGCTAAATTGGTGCCCCCCCCCGTTAGAAGGAAACTGGACTTACGACTAGTCCTCGCATTTGCAACCGTGCCAGCATCCTTCCCCAACTTGTTTGCAGGGAGGGGGGAATCAGGGAGGGAGTTTGGACAGGAGCTGGGATTGCTTAATGTTGCTTTTTGGTCCAGGAAATATTTCGCCTTCCATCAGGACTAAATGTTCTGTGAAAGCTAGCTCAAATTGGTCCCTGGAGGGAACTCTGGCAAGGAAAATATTGGAAGGGGTTGATAGTTTGGGGTAGACTGCTCCTGGTGCTAGGAGCTCCATCGATCTCGGCTACTTAAGGGCTACTTTTCCAAAGGAAGAAGGCCTGAGGTTGTATCCCGCCCGTTGTTTTTACAAATAACATACCTAATATTCCTTTCTCCTCCTGCTTTTCCCAACAACAACCCTATAAGGTGGGCTGGGCTGACAGGAAGGAACCGGACCAAAGGTACCTGGCCAGCTTTCATGGCTAAGGTGAGGTTAGAAGTCACCATTGCCTGCTTTCCTAGCCTGATGCTTTTTGCTTTTTCCCTGTGGAAAGTCACTCTGTTTTTTTCCCATGCTGTTCCCCAGGCCGTTAATACAAAGCCAAATATTGAGATTTCCTTTTCTTTTCCTCAAAAAAAAAAAAAAAAAAATGAAGACAGTGACTGTCACTTTTCCTTTTCAAAAGGGGCGAGGTTTTTTAAATCCTGACCGATTTCTGTGCTTTGATCATAGCTTCCAACAGAAGCTCGGGAAACCAGGGTGGAAAAACGAAGAAAATGCTAAAAATTAACTTTTTAAGTTTGAGAGCCACTGGGTCAGTCTGCCCCTTTGCTTTTTCTCTTTTGAAGAAACTAATTAAGTTCTTCCTCGGAAAGGAGAGATGATAGATAGATAGATAGATAGATAGATAGATAGATAGATAGATAGATAGATAGATAGATAGATAGATAGATAGATAGATAAGATAGATAAGATAGATGGATGGATGATAGAGGGACAGACAGATAAATAATAGATTAGATATAGAGATGATATAGATACATATAGATATAGATATACAGATGATAGATATAGAGATATAAAGAGATAGACAAAGAGAAAAAAGAAACAGTGAAACAGCAAAAGAGGGAAAGAGACACAGAAAAAGTAAAAGCGAAAGGGAGAAAAAGAAAGAGCAAAAAAGAAAGTGAGAAAAGGAGATAAAGAAAAAGAGCAAAAGAGGGAGAGAGAAGGAAAAAGTGAAAGGAAAGGAGTGAAAGAGGGGGAGAAAAAAACAAAGAGAAAAAGAAAGGGAGAGAGAACAAATAACAAAATAATGCTGATATCACTAAGCAAAACTCAAAAGGATATTTAAAAAAAAAAAAAACACACAAAGGACCATCCCAACCCCTGATTGAGCCTGGCCTGGTCCCAAACATGAGACAAAGGAGTGTGTTTTTCCCCCAAAAAACCCCCAAATTGCCAATTTTTAGTGTCTTTTCTTTTTTTCAAAACCACTTAAAAAAGGATCATCTCTGCCGGGAAGAGACAGGTCAACATAAAAGGGACGGTTTTTATTTCCTTGCTGGAGTTTTCCTTCCCCCAGCGGATTTTGGAAAGGGGGGAGGGGGGAGGGGAGAGAGACAAGGAGAGGGGGGGGTCTTTCTTGATTTGCATCCGCAAGGCTGGTTTTGTGAGGCTGTGATGGGGAGAGGGGCACAATTTGGCTGGATCAAGCGAGGCAAGAATAAAATGCCTTTTATTTGAAGCAAACACGGACAGAGAAAAATCGGGCCTGGCTTGGCTGGGGAAGATCTCGCAAGGCTGTTCCCCCCCCCCCAAAAGGAAGCCCTCCCTCCTCCAGGTTTTCCTTGGGAGAAGCACCAATTGGTGATCACAGCAGTTCACACAGTTTATTTACATCTCGGAAACAAAACTGGGCTCCATTTCTTGATCTGGTTTCTGGATTTGGCCTCCCTTCGCTGCCGCTGTTACTGCCCCACGGAAGCCAGCCAGCTGAAGTGGGGGGTGGGCACAGCGAGGGTGTGTCCCCCCGTGGGCAGACCACCCATTTTTCTGGCAGGGATGGAGCCCCCCCCCCAAGAGGACCCCCTGCCAGGGGAGAGCGTCACTCCGCAGCCTCGTCCTTCTCCGGCGATTGTGTCCGCCTGGCCTGGCCGGATCTGGATTCGACCTGGGGGCTGGGCAGTTCCTTTGCCCAAAAGGGCAGCTTTGGGAGGGGGGGTTGGCACAGGGGTGGGCCCCGCCATAGGGACTCCCAGAGCCCCCCCCCTCAGTCGCTGTCTGAGCCAACAGCTGAGGATCCTTTCCGCTTCCGTTTGGTGGGTTTCGGTTTGGTGTCTTCCTCTTCCTGTGGGTCAGAGAAAGTGGGGGTGGGGGGAAACACTGGATGGGAGGGGTCTTTGTGGGTGTGTCACTGGGCAGCCCCCTCCCCAAAATCCAAGCTTCACAACAAGAGCAACAGGACAAGTTGTAAAGGCTGGGAACAATCTCATATCTAGCTGCTTATTTATTATCTTCCTTCCTTCTTCCCTCCCTTCTTCCCTTCTCTATTCCTTCTTTTCTTTTCTCGTTTCCTTCCCTCCTTCCTTCCTTCCGATTCTTCTCTAGTCCTCCCTATCTAGATATTCCTTTCCTTCTTCCCTTCCATCTGTGTATCTATCCCCTCCTTCCTTCCTCCCATTCTTCCTTTCTTTTCCCTTCCTTCCTTCCTACCTTCCCTGATTATTCCTCCCTCCCTCTGTATCTATATATTCCTTCCTTCCTTCCTTCCTTCCTTCCTCCCATCTCCATCTGTTTTCCTTCCTTTCTCCCATTCTCCCCTTCCCTTCCTTCTCTTATTCCTTTCTTTCCTTCCTCTGGGCCAGCGGCTCCCTACCTTCTTCCCCAGCCCCTCCCTGCACTCCCAAAGACCCCCCCCACCGCCCCCCACTCACCGAGGCGCTGCTGGAGGCCGACTCCTCCTCGTTGGGCGGCTGCTGGGCCGCGTTCTTGCGGCTGCGGGGGCTGGAGAGGGCCGCCTTCCGTCGGCTTTTCGGCAGTTTGCTGGACGAGTCTTCGTACTCCTCGGCCAGGGAGAAGAGGTCGCTGAACCTGGGGAGGGGGGGAGAAAAGGGGTGAGGGGACCAGGTCTCCCCCAGATTCCTGGCTGGGTCCGGCAGGAACGCCCCGACAAGGGTCCTACTCACTTCATCTTGTGGGCTTCGTCACAGCTGCACTGGACGTGTTGCAAGGACTGGAGAATGGGGGGCTGGTTGAAAACTGGAAGGAAAGTGGGGAGGGGGTCATGAGAGTGTGGCCATTAGAAAAAGGGGGGGGTCCCTGGAAGAGCAATGACCTAATAGGATGATTAAAGGCCTGGAGGCTAAAACATAAAAGGAACAGTTGCAGAAATTGGGTCTGTCTGGTTTAATAAAGAGAAGGATCGGGGGGGGGGGAGCACATGATAATAACCTTCCAAATTTGGGGGGGTGCCCCAAAGAAGAGGGAGGGGTCCACCTCTTCTCAAAAGCACCTGAGGGCAGGACAAGAAGCAACGGATGGCAACCAATCAAAGAGAGAAGCAATCTGGAACTAAGGAGAAACAATTAACCTGTGGAACAGCTTGCCACCAGAAGTTGTGGGTGCTCCATCACTGGAGGATTTCAAGACAGCCATGTCTGAAAGCAGGTCTCGGTTCTCCTGCTTGAGCAGGGAGTTGGACTAGAAGACCTCCAGGGTCCCTTCTATTCGGATTGAGTATTAATGGGGTGTGTGGGGGGGTGTCCCTGCCATTAACCCCCCTTTTTGCCGGGAGGAAAAGGCTGGGATTGCAGAACATCCCTCTGGAACAGCGTCTGGCCCCCCAACCCCGGGGTCTCTACGGCCCCCAGCCTCAACCTACAGCTCTGCTTGGTGTTGGCCAGGTTCAGGCGGAGGTTATCCAGATGTTCCAGGATCTGCTCCAAGGTCAGCTGGGCCAGTTTGCTGCTGGAGCTGCGAAGGCTGAAAGCAGAGGGGGGGAGGGGTGGTTAGGAGGACCAGGGAAGCCCCCCCCCTCGACCCCCTCCAGCGCCTTTTCAAACTCCTTCTCCCTTGCTGGTTTCGCTTCTTGTTTAGATGTGTGTAATTTTAGGAAAGAATAAAAGCAGGAGAACTTTGGAAAAAGGAAAGTAAGGAAGCAAAATAGTAAGTGAGAAAGGGGCAAAGAAAAGAGATGATAGATAGATAGATAGATAGATAGATAGATAGATAGATAGATAGATAGATAGATAGATAGATAGATGGATGGATGGATGGATGGATAGATAGATAGATATAAATTTTAGATGATAGAGAGAAAAAGAAAAGAGAAAAAGAAAGACAAAAAAGAATGAAAAAGAAAGGAAGGAAGGAAGGAAGGAAGGAAGGAAGGAAGGAAGGAAGGAAGGAAGGAAGGAAGGAAGGAGAAATAGATTTATATTTCTCTTCCCCCCCAAAATAACCACATAATTCCCAATTTCCCCCGCAAAGACCAAGTCTCTAGTCCTCAAGAAGGCACAAGACTAGGTTGAGAGGTGAATAAAGCACCGGCCTGCCGCACGAGACACCAAGAGGGGGAGCCAGAGAGTTGGAAAACAAAAGCTTGCGCTAGATCTCCCTGTTAACTTTCAAACTTCAAATTAAAGTTTTAACTTAAAGAGCCTGGCATTTTTAATCTCTTTTTTTAAGTTTAAAAAAGTTTTCAAAGTTTTTTCTTCTTCTTTAATTTAAAAATGCCAGCTTCCGCCTGCCTCTTCCCCCCACAATGCCCCCCCCCCGGCTCTTCCTGAACCCCACCTTTGGCGTTTCCGGGGCAGACTGTTGTTCTTGATCAGGAGGGATTTGATGTGCTCTATCAGGTGATTCTCGTGTTTGATGCACCAGTGCCGAAGGATGCTGGTGGTGAACTGGTCGTCTGGATGGCACGGCCGGCTTAGCACCATTTTCACCATCTCCTCCGTCGGCCTGTGTCAAATGACAGCTTTATGGTTTATGGAGTTTATAGCGGAGGCGATGAACCTCTGAGAGCTGAACGCCAGGAAATCCCATTTTGATGTATTAATGTACATTTCAAGTAACAATAAAGTTATTATTCTGTTCTGTTCTATATTATTAATGTCTCTATTGTATTCTATATTCTGTTTTATTCTATTATTTCTAATTTTATTATATTTTATATTACTAATGTCTCTATATTGTATTTCTATTAATTCTAATTCTATTCTATTCTGTTTTCTATTCTATTTCTATTACTATTCTATATCATTAATGTCTCTATTCTATATTCTTCTATTATTTCTAATTCTATTCTATTCTATATCATTAATGTCTCTATTCTCTATTCTATTTCTATTAATGATATAGAATATATTCTATTCTATATCATTAATGTCTCTATTCTCTATTCTATTTCTATTATTTCTATTTCTATTCTATTCTATTCTAAATCATTAATGTCTCTATTCTATATTCTTTCTATTATTTCCTATTCTATTCTATTCTATTCTATTCTATTCCAGTCCAGTCCATTCCAGTCCATTCCAGTCCAGTCCAGTCCAGTCCCAATGAAACAAACAGTTGTAACTCAAGGATTGCCCATAGAAGAAAAAAAAAGTCTAAATTCTGCTTAAAAAAAATGAATTATTTGCCGCTGTTCCTCAACAGTGCAAGCAGAGAATTTCAAATACGTACTTTTCCCGTCTCAGCTGCAACAGTAAGCAGGACAGAGCCTCCGGGTGTTCTGCAAGAAAAAAAAAGCAATTTTTTGAAAAATTTTGAATCTAACTGAGCTTGGAATTACCGTCGCAAGTCAAGAAGGTATTAAGACGACCGGATTTTGCAAGCATTTTTTTTTTGCAATCGCCGTAGCCATTAAGCAAATCCAATTCTTCCCCAATGGGTGGGAAACACTAGAAACCGTCAAAACAAGCTTTGCAAATTTAAATTAATTTTATTCATTCCTTCATCGATGTTCTTAACCGTCCATCTCCCTCAAATCACGGTCACCTGGCTGGGGAAGGCAGCAAATGGCCATACAGATGTGTTTGTGTGTGCCTGTCACAACTCTAGCTCTAGAGAGACCCCGTTGTAATTCTGAATGGCCAGTGAGTGATCCGTCGTAAGCTGAGGACCGCGTGTATTTCTCTACACAGAGAGGCTTTGAAAAATAAAAGCCCCAATTTTGCATAATAAGGATCCCGCTGCTTTTTTTCTCTCTCTCTCCCTTGCTGGGCCAGAGACTGGCAGCTCGCTAGCATCCCTAGTGGGCTCACCTTTATATTTCAGATGCTGCAGGATGGGGATGATGGTTTCCAACGGAATGTTGTGGGCCAGAAAAAGTTGCCAGGTGCAATATTGCTCAAAAGTCTCCCATTCCAAGCTCTGAACTAAAAAAAAAAAACAAAGAGAAAGGAAGCGAGTTGCTAAAGACGCAGTTCAACACAAAACACCACAATCTATTCCACACACACAACCCGGCCCGGCTAAGAACCACACTTTTCCTGGGCCAAGAAGGGACCCTCCCAAAGGATTCTGGGAGTTGAAGTCAGTATTCGTTCTTAGTCTGCCCTTTGCCGAGATCGCTCCCGCCAGCCACTTGGGAAAAAAGGCCGATGCCCTTCCGGGTGGCTGCAACTCACTCAGAATATTAAGGACCGAATCTTTCCGGAACATCACCAAATTCCCCATCATGACGTGACACACCAGTTCCTGGAGCTGTACAAAAAAAACCCAAACAAACAGGAAAAATGCACCAGGAAGCCAAGCCAAGATGGGTTTTGTAGTTGTTTAAAATCGACAGCTGCTTCTTCCTCCCTTTGGCTCCATCTCCTCCCTGCCCGGTTTGGGGACGAAGGAGGCCTCTCTAGTGGGCCCTCTTCTCTTCCAGCTGTGGGTCTGTTGTGGGTCTTACCTGAGCCGAGTCAATGACTGCGACAATCATGTTCAGCAGCTCCCCACTTCGGAGGGTCTCGTCGGGGAACTGGGGGGGAAGAGAAGGGAAAGGCGGAGTGAGACCCGGGGGGGGGGAGGGATTGAACCAGCTGAGAAGCTGCTGGCCAGGAAAAAAAAGAACCTTCAATCGCAGAAATTCTGTGTTCTTTGGGGGGCAGGAAGGAGGGCGGCGGGACAGTGTGCTGTTCCCCGGTTTTGGAGACAAAAGGATGTTTATTTTCTTAGTAGTAGTAGTAGTAGTAGTAGTAGTAGTAGTAGATGATAGAAGAAGGGGAAAATAAACACGGAGTAGGAGAAGGAGGAAGATGGCCAGGAAAAGGAGGAGGAGAGGGGAGGGGAGTGGGAAAAGGAAGGAAGGAAGGAAGGAAGGAAGGAAGGAAGGAAGGAAGGAAGGAAGGAAGGAAGGAAGGAAGGAAGGAAGGAAGGAAGGAAGGAAAGGGACAGAAAGGAAAAGCATAAGAAGGAAGGAAAAGAGGGACAGGAAAAGCGAAGGAAGGAAGGAATTGGGATAAAAGAAAAAGAGAAGGGGAAGGGGAAGAAAAGGATGGAAAAGAAAGAAAGAGAAGAGGAGGAGAAGAGGAAGGGAAGAAACAAGAAGAGGAGGAGGAAGAGGAGGAAGAAGGGAAGAAGAGGAGGAAGAAGAGAAGAAAGAAGAAGAGGAAGAGGAGGAGAAGGAGAGGAGGAGAAGCACAATCCGAGCAGGCAGCCTTCCCATCCCTCCCTCCCTCCCAAAGCGGGGGGGGGCGTCTCTTGCCCTCCACGGGGTAGGGGGTGGGGTGGGGTCTCCTCACCTCCGTGTAGATGGAGGGCGTGAGGTAGCAGAGCAGGCGGATGTCGTCCTCCTGGCAGGCCTTCATGTCCATCATGAGGCAGGTGTGCAGGTCCCCCAGCTGCGTCGCCTGGGCAAAGGACTCGTACAGGCTCATCTTCCCGGCGGCCGCTTTGCTGGAGAGGTGAAGTTGAGGGGGGGGAGAGTTGAACCCAGGGTCCTTCCAGGGACTCTCCCTGCTTCAGAGGGCAACTGTCCTCCCCCGCACCAGCCACCCCCCCTCCGCCCACAGCCTCCCCCTCACCTGGCCTTCAGGTAGTAGAGCAGGTGGAAGCCGATCTTGGGCTGCTTCTGGTACAGCTCCGACAGCAGGTCCAGCAGGACCGAGAAGCTGCTGTTGTCCTCCTGCATCTGGCAAAGGTTCCTGCGAACAGGGAGCAAGCAGGGCTGGCGGATTCACACGCGCGAGGGTCAAGCCCCGGGGGATCACGCAGGTTTTCTCCCGCAAGCGTCGGACGCAAAAGGGAGGAGGACGGGAGGAGCAGAGAGGGTTCAGCACAGGGAGAGGCAGTTCGGTGTGGCAGTTAAGGGGCTGGCCTAGAAATCGGAAGGCTGCGAGTTCTAGTCCTGCCTTAAGCGTGAAAGCCTGCTGGGCCAATCACCAGGAGACTGGGAGTTCTAGTCCCGCCTTAGGCACGAAAGCCAGCTAGGTGACTCTTAGCCCAGCCCACCTCACAGGGCTGTTGTGGGGAAAATAGGAGAAAGGTGCATTGGATCTATTCCCCGCCTCGAGTGACTTATAAAGTAATAAAAGCAGGATTAAAAAAAAAAACCTAATGAGCGAACGAACAGGAGGAGACCTACCTAAATATTAAGTAAAGCGGCTTTCCTACGGATTCTTCCAGAGACCTGTGCGGAAATATAAAACATAAAACGTTGGGTTTACACAGGACACGGAACCACCTTTCGATCTCTGTGGCTTCACCCTGGCTTATTCTCAAACCAGATTAAGAGCAGGCGTTGTAAGAGGGAGGACGGACTATCCCCTTCCCGGTCCGCTTACTCTTCCGTGATTTCTTCCGGCAAAACCTCCCCGTGGAAGTGAGCTTTGAACAGCTCCTGCAAGCAGGAGGCCAAGACCGAGAGTTGCTCCTGGTCAAAATCCTCCTGGGGAACAGACAGTGGGGGGGGGGGGAGAGAAACAACAACAGTGAGCGTGCAAAAGGATGCGACAATCCAATCCGGGATGGGAGGAAGGAATAAGCGCGGCTTGATTGGGAAACGGACCGAAAGGAAAAAATCCTAGGCCACAAAGTGGGGCTCAAATTTACTCCGCCCCCCCCTCCCCAAAAACCATCCAAAACCAGGCCCTGCGAATCCAGAAAGCAGCGGTCACCTCCAAGACTTGATCCACAATTTCTTGCATAGCTTCGCACTGGGCTTCCGTATCGCTGCAGGCCGATGGAGGGGGGGAGAGAGAGAGAGAGAAAAAAAAGGAAATTCAAGTTAAAGAGAGGAAAAGAGATATGATCTCTGTGTGTGTGTGTGTGTGTGTGTGTGTGTGTGTGCGCTTGACACTGGGAAGGATGAGAAGTTTTCTATCCAAATGTATTTTGTTATTTATATCGCTTCCATTCCCCCCCTTCAAATGTTAGCAAAATCCACCGTGGTCCGAGAATCTTGTGTCTCCACGAGATGATTGACAGTCAGGCTGAAATTAAAGTTTTTAAAGCAACTCAAATGAACACACTTCCTCCAGGACCCAATCTGCATATCAAAGGAGGAGGTCTGCAAACGCGAACAGAGTTAAAATTAACTGTGTTCACAAGAACATACCTACACACACACACACACACACACACACACACACACACGGACACCTCAACTGTCACCCTAGAATCAGCACGTGACCAGCCCCCCCCCCCACTATAAAACAAATGCAAACTGTTTTGCTGCTAAAAAATAAATATTTCTTCTTTTCTTTGCTGCCGTCTGGATCTCATTTTCATTTATCCTTGCGTGGACCCAGCTGGAGTCGGACCCCCAAATTATTCTTCTGACGGATGGGTTCCCCTGACATGCTTGCTTTCTACTTGCAGGGATCCCCCCCCCATGCAGGGGATATTTATTCCCGTTTAAGTTTTACATGGGGATATAAATCTCTTTGATTCAAGAGGTGATTTTTCTATTGTATTGCGAAGCCCTCTTTCAACTTCATCAAATGTCAAACCTGCCAATCCGTTTTTTGCCTTATTGACACAGGTGTGTGTGTGTGTGTGTGTCTTAATTGGGAAGATTACACTCAGTAGTTTGGCGATCCAAGGCCGGCCACAGCTGGGATCTTGGTTTCACAGCAGGTTTAAATCCTGGTTTAACCAAGCTTTGCTTGCCTTCCCCAAATTCTCTCTGCAGAGCGTTGGCAAAAAAAACAAGCCTATTAAATGTTTAGTCATACAACAGGCTAAATTAATGGATGGTGCTGGGTCAAAAGGCCCCCCAACAGGGAAAGTTGCATTTGCACAGCTGGATTCCAGAGAGAAAGTGAGAGAGAGAGAGAGAGAGAGAGAGGGAAACTGAGGTTTGTGTACAGGATGAGAACAAAAGCCAGCTTGTGCGAGGGGGGAGGATAGACCCCCTTGCAAACCCCCCCCCCATTACATTTTTTTTTAAGTCCTTCCAGAGCTGCTGGGGAGGGGGCTGCCCCACGGGGTGGTTGCGCAATCCAGAGGCTCAGAAAGGACTCACAAAAGGAATCTCAGCCTTGGCCAGGGGCTGGGTGGGTTGTAAATTCAGTTGTTAAAAGACACAAGCTGTGTGTTTCCCAAGGGGGGGGGGGGCTGCCATAAGGCTCTTGCCTCGGGCTGGCCTGGCTCGGCTCTGTGGCTGCTGCTGTTATCTGCTCCCCCACCCCACCCCACGGCGGGCGTTTGCACAATGTTTTGCAACACACTCAATCCACCCACAAACCACAGAATGTCTCCCCAGAGGTCTCCAGCATCAGCTACAAGGTTGGTAAAAAAAAGAATCCGGAGCAGAACTCAGAATAACCGAATAAGAAGAGTGGGAAGGGACCTTGGAGGCTGTCTAGTCCAACCCCCTGCTCAGGCAGGAAACCTTGTAACATTCCAGACAAATGGGTCTCCAATCTCTTCTTAAAAACCTCCATTGATGGATGGATGGATGGATGGAAGGAAGGAAGGAAGGAAGGAAGGAAGGAAGGAAGGAAGGAAGGAAGGAAGGAAGGAAGGAAGGACAGTAGAATTACAGAAGAACAGAGTTGGAAGGGACCTTGGAGGCCATCTAGTCCATCCCCCTGCTCAGGCAGGAAACCCTATAACATTCCAGACAAGGGACTCTCCAGTCTCTTCTTAAAAACCTCCATTGATGGAGCACCCACAACTTCTGGAGGCAGGCAGTTCCACTGGTTAATTGTCCTCACTATCAGGAAACGTCTCCTTAATTCCCAGGTTGCTTCTTTGGAGAAGAGCTGGAGGCCCTGGAGGTAGAACCTCCATATACAGGAGCAGGATTCTTAAGCAGCAGGGGGGGGGGACAGAGAGCCGAAGGAAAGAGAAGGAGACCTCAGGGCAGAGCAGGCCAACCTCTCAAGGCCTGGAAGGGAAAAAAGAGGGGGACGGACGTGTCCCGGGGCCATACCCACCTCCCCTTCTGTAGGAGCAGGATCTTGTCTTTGAGGGACTCGTCCAGCTGCTCCAGGAAGGGGGAGATGTCCACTGCGGCTTCCTTGATGGGGTGGAAACGGAACTCCCTCTTCTTCCCTGCCAGGAGAGGGGGGGGGAACAGCCGGGGCTCAAGCCCTCTGCACGGATGCTTTCGCAGGGGCCAATCTGGGTGGCTCACCTGGACCAGAGGGTCCTCCTTGCAAGGTTTCAGGAGGGAACTATCATCCATCCATCCATCCATCTCTCTCTCTCTTTCATCTATCTATCTCTATCTATCTCTATTTATCTACATCTCTCTCTCTCACCTCTATCTCTCTCTCTCTCTCTCTCTCTCACCTCTATCTATCTATCTATCTATCTATCTATCTATCTATCTATCTATTTCTATCTTTTCTATATTTAAAACTTTTAAATGTTTTATATTTAAACTTTTAACGTTTTATAAAACTTTTAATGTTTTAACTTTTCCTGGTGCTCACGTTTTATTTCTTAGTATTTCTATCTATCTCTATAATCTATCTATCATCTCTTATCTATCTATGATCTATCATCTATATCTATCATCTATATCTATCTATTTATCTACATCTCTATCTATCTATCTATCTATCTATCTATCTATCTATCTATCTATCTATCTATCTCTATAATCTATCTATCATCTATAATCTATCTCTATCTATCGTCTCTATATCTATCTCTATACCTGTCTGTCTGTAAAAATACATCAGCCAGCAGCCATCCATCCCTCCATCCCGCGGCTCCTGCAGGATCTGTTTTGCACAGACCAGGTTTTCGCATGCAGCCATGATCTGCTGGGCAGCTGGAGGAACCGCAGCAGCACGGGGCCCGTCCACATCCACCCCACCTTTGCTGTTGAGATCTTCCTCATCGTCGCTGAAGGCGGCTTCGGCCTGGTCGTAGCAGCTGTCGTCTCGGTCAGACATGTGATTGTCCAGCTCTGCGGCCGCCGGTTCCTCGACTTTGACTGCGGGGCCTAAGAGAGAGGCAGATGGACCGAAGGGATGGTCTCCGTTCCAGCAGGAACTTCATTTCCCAGGATCCCCTGCGGCCGAGCAAGGGGTGCCGACGGTGGGCATGACGCTGACAGTCCGGTCTTGGAGAGGAGAGGCTGGAAGGGGGCAAAGGCCGGCCCAATTTCTCCAGCAGGGACCCCCCTCACCCACCCCCCTTTGCCAGCAGAAGCTCCACAGGCACCATGAAGCCTTATTAAGGCCACACACCTGGAATGCTCCATCCGGTTTTGGTCACCACAGTACAAAACAGAAGTGGAGACTTTGGGGAAAGTGCAAAGAAGAGCAACTAGGATGATTAAAGGGCCCGGAGACTAAAACATACAAAGGACGGCTGCAGGATTTGGGTTTGACTAGTCTAAAGAAAAGAAAGACGGGAGGTGGGGGGGCATGAAAGAAGCCTTCCAATATTTGAGGGGCTGCCACAAAGAAGAGGAGGGGGTCAAATGATTCTGCAAAGCCCCAGAAGGCAAGACAAGAAACAAGGGATGGAAACTAACCAAGGAGAGAAGCAACCTGGAACTAAGGAGAAACTTCCTGACAGTGAGGACAATTAATTAGTGGAACAGCTTGCCACCAGAAGTTGTCGGTGCTCCATCCCTGGGGGCTTTGAAGAAGAGATTGGACAGCCATAGGGATCTTTGGCTGGACTAGAAGACCTCCAAGGTCCCTCCCTGCTCTATTTGGATTGATTTATGCTTCCTTTAAATAAGAAGGGTGAAAGGCAGAGACCCCACCCCTCGGCTGACTGCCAGCAAGATCTCCTGAAGGGTTAGGGTCTGGATGGTGGTGGACCACCTCCCCAATGTTCTCCTCCAGCTTACCTTCGACCGGAGGAGAAGGAGAGGAGCAGAATTCTGGAAACTTCTCTCTAAGCATAGCTCGGAGTTCCCGGTCCAGCTTCGGATTATCGAAAAGAGGAGCCAGGTGTCTGCATGGGGGAAGGGGGAGAAAAGAAACAGGACAGGGGGACAGTGAAGAACCACCTGCCTCCAGAAGCGGTGAATGCTCCAACACTGCAAGTTTTTCAGAAGAGACTGGACAGCCATTGGTCTGAAATGGTCTAGGCTTTCCTGCCTGAGCAGGGGGTTGGACTAGATGACCTCCAAGGTCCCTTCCAACTTTATTACTATTACAAGAACGTTATCTCGAAGATCAAAAAATGTTTTCCAAGCCTGCCCAAATGTTGGACTCCCAAATGGGTGTTTTGTTGCCGGTCTCAGGCCCAAGAGGCCTCTGTATCCCCCACCGGGTGCCCCCTCTTGGACTCCACTTCCCATCCTCCCCAGCCAGGAGTGGAGAGGAGGCACTTTTTAAGAAGGAACCGGTTGGCCAAAAGGGTTTCTGCTTAAGAAATGGACACAGGATGGAATTGTGTTTTTGCTCTGTTTATCCGGGGAGGCTGGGAAAGGACACCAGTTGGGTCTTTCCACCCCAAGGGAGGAAAATCTGCAGCCCACCCCCCCCAAGGATGGGAAGGGGGGGGGAACCTTCAAATCCCAGGGTCTTACGCCAAGACTCGCTTCTCCACGATGTGGGTGAGCGAGTTGAAGACCCCTTGGCGGACGTGAGTTTCCAGCGCGGGATAAAAATTCGGAATGATCTGGAACGAGAAATGGGGAGGGGGGGAGGGGTGTGTGTGAGGGGGGGGGGTTGGCTGCCCATCAGGGAGCCCTCCCCACTGGTTTCGTAGGGAGGGGGCGGGAGGGGGCCTTACCCGACACATGAAGTCCAGCAGAGTGGCCGTGATCGCCGGGTGAGGTTTCATGGAATGGTACATGACAAAGATGGCGGGCTCTGTGAAATGATCCAAGCGTTACGAAGCCGTCCCCCACCACACCAAATGTGGGGAGGTCGATCAGAAACCACAAAACCACACCACACACACACACACACACACACACACACACTCCGGGCTGCGGAGTTTGCAACCTTTGCCCGCTTTGTTTTAAAAAAAAACCCAATAGGCCCGCTCAAACGCAGGCGGTCCTCCAGTTGCGACCTCAGTGGAGCCCGACAGCTTCCCGTTACTAAACGAGACATTGTGTTTTTTTACCCCTTTTTACGACCTTTCCTGACAGTCATTGTGAATTGCCAAGACCCCAAGCAGCATCGGGGGAGGGGGGGGAGAAAAGATTGGCCCCATACCGATATTCATGATGCTGTCCTTGTCGGGGTTGAAGAACAGCCAGTCGTAAAACAAGGCGAGTTTGGCGTTGGAAGCAGCCACGTTAGACTGGAAGAGAAGAAACGGAGGGAGGGTTTGACGCTGCTCCCAACCCAGAGGAGGTTCCCAGTTGTGCCTATGCGGGAGTCACCGTTCTGGCATGCTTCCGGTCAGTTTTCAACCTGGGAAAGTGTCTCCCTTCTCTCCCCCCACCCTTCAAGGTTGGGGGGCTGACTGTACCCCTAGATGCCCCCACCCCCCCAGAAGACAGACTCACACAATGAAAGAGTCTCAAATGAATCAAGGAGAGAAGCAAGCCGCGATTAAGGAGAGATTTCCTGCCAGTGAGAACAATTAACCAGTGGAACTGCCTGCCTCCAGAAGTTGTGGGCACTCCATCACTGGGGGTTTTTAAGAAGAGACTGGAGAGCCCCTTGTATGAAATGGCATAGTGTCTCCTGCCTGAGCAGGGGGCTGGACTAGAAGACCTCTGAGGTCCCGTCCCACTCTGTCATCCTGTATTCTGAGGAGGGGGCTGGACTAGAAGACCTCCAGGGTCCCTTCCCACTCTGAAGCCCCTCAAGCCGTGGATGGCTGATGACTTGCCGGCTGCGTTAACCATCATCCATGTTGGTCAAACCACAATGCTTACCGTGCAGGTGGTCAGCAGCCAGCCAATGATGGCCCAGCGGGGGAGGATGTCGGAGCTGAGCACCTCGTTGGACGGGTGGACCACCCCGCAGATGTAACGGATGAGGTCGCATCTCAGGGACTGGCTATCCGGGGTGGAGAGGTACTGGCGCTGGAACCAGTCTTGGTACCGCTTCTGTTGACCCAAACGGACCTGGACACAGAGAAGGAAGCAGCTGCCTCGGATCGGGACCCGTCTTGACGTAAGACCCGGGTCCTTCTTGCAGAGATACGGAGAGTCCTCAACTTACGACTTATATTTGCAGTGATTCGCTTAAGAACCGTGGCCCCCCAAAACAAGAAAAGCTCGTAAAAATCATAACCGCCTTACTTAAGCGATGCCAATTCTGGAATTTACAAGGGCTGAGGACCAGCACTCCTCAACGTACGACCACGATGGAGAATCCCCCCCCCCAAAATTTAGGCTGCTAAAGCGAGACGTTTGTTAAGTGAGTTTTGCCCTGTTTTACGACCGTCGTATAGTGAGTTAGTTGCCAAGCGTCCGAAGTTTGACCATGGGATGGCTGCGACGGTCATTAAGGGTGAAAAACGGTCCTAAGTCTCTTTTTTAAAGCGCTGTCGTGACTTCAGTGCCGCCGTGTCGGTCGCTAAGAGAAGCCGAGGACTACCTATAAGGTGAGTTATTAAGGGAGGTGGGCCTGATTTTACAAGCTTCCCCCCACACACAAAGTTGTTAAGTGAATCATGGACAATAAAGCCCGGATAAAAAATGAAATAAAACAGAAACAAGATACCCGGGAGGTCATAAAAAGCAGCTTGGTCTCCATATCTGGGGTGAGGCGACAGGCTAAAAATTTCCTGGACGTCCTTGACTGCAGAAGCTGCAACATCCCTGGGGATTGAACACAACAGACACAAAGGGAAGTGAGAAGTGTACAGAGACCCACAAGTCTTAAAAGACAACCAACCAATCAGGGGGAAATAGCTTGGCTTCCCTATCAAATATTCAAACGTGATGGAAGAATACAGGCATTCCTTGACTTACAACCGCAGTTGTTAAGTGAGACAGGGGTTAACGCAAAGGGGTGGGGGGATCCCACTCGGTGCTTTTACCCACCTGTGAACTGGGGGCTCAGGGCCTGTGGATTATGGATTATGTCTTTCCAAAGCTGCTCGAACTCCGGAATCCGGGCCACGCTCTGCAGGAGCCGCACCAGATCCCGGCCGATCATGAAGCAATCCATAAACTTGGCCAAGGAAAGGGGGAAGAAAAATGGAGAATCAAAGCCAAAGGGGAAACTCGCCAGCTGTCCAAAGATCAAGGAGGAGAAGACCGAAGGCCTGGCTGCCCACGTGCCAAGCCTTGCCCCCCCATGCTCTCCCCCCCTGGGGATGCCAGGCCTCCCTTTGAAGATCAAAAGGAACTTGCCCGTCCACAAGGCCGGAGGGTGGCAAAGGCTCCGTCAATAAACAAGCCATTAATTCCGAGGTGCCAGAGGGGGGTGGGAGATGGAGGGGGGTGTCTTGAAGGCCAGCAGTTCAAGGTTCTGGGCAGGGTTTCTGGCACAGCCACCTCGCCCAACCACCAAAATTTCAACCCCCTGGAGGTTTGGGGGCCAGGCTCTGATCTGTCCCCCCAACCCAGGGATTTGATCTCCCCAAATGAAACACAATAAAACAGAGTTTCTCAATCTTGGCAACTGGAAGGAGGGGGGGGGACTTCAACTTCCAGAAATTCTCAGCCATGCATGCCTTTCCTTTCCTTCCCTTTTTTTCCCTTTCTTTCCTTTCCTTTCCTTTCCTTTCCTTTCCTTCCTCCTTCCCTATCCCTTTATTCTTTCCTTCCTTCTTCCCCTTCATTTTATGTCTATCTACACCACCTTCCTTCCTTTCTTCCTTTCCTTCTTTCTTCTCTATCTCCTTCCTGCCTGCCCTCCTTCATTTCTATCATCTCTCTCTCTCTCTCTCTCTCTCTCTCTCTCTCTCTCTATCTATCTATCTATCTATCTATCCTCTCATCTATCTATCTATCTATCTACCTACCTACCTACCTACCTACCTACCTACCTACCTACCTACCTACCTACCTACCTACCTACCTACCTATCTAATGTATTATCTCCCTGTCTAACCAGAGGGTAACTCTGGGCAGCTTACAATATTAAAAAAACAAAACTACATAAACAGAGTACAACAAAACTATAAAAATATCCTTTCTCCTTCTTCCTCCTTTCCTTCCTCTCTTCCTCCAAAGCCATTTCTGAGCTTTAAAAAAAAACCCTTTGCCTCTTTCCACCTAATGTCTGAAATAGAAACCCCAAAGTGTCAACTAAAAGACCGAAGCCAGCCAGCCGGGACAGGCCCTCGTGGAAGGGAAGGGAAGGGGATGGCGAGATCAGGAGCTGGCTGGGGCGGGGGGGGGGGAACAGACTGGGTGCAAGCCTCCGGGGTCTCCTTACCCGGTCTCGGAGCAACGAAATGCAGAAGTCCACCTCCTTTTGGCGGAGGGCCTGCAGGGATGGGGAGCCGTGGTGGTCCACGATGAGGCGCAGGTAGGTGTACACCGACATGGCAATCAGCAGCGCGCTTTTCAGCACCCACTCCCTAGAAAGAAAGACCCACAGGGTGTTGGCCTCTGCCCTGATGCCCACACAAGACCCACACAAAATGTCCTTGACGTGCCAGGACAGGACTTTATCCATACTAACTCCTTCCTTCCTTCCTTTCCTTTCCTTTCCTTTCCTTCGCTATCTATCTATCTATCTATCTATCTATCTATCTATCTATCTATCTATCTCCTTCATTCCTTCCTTCTCTCCCTTCCATTGATTCATATCTATCCATCTATCCATCTATCTATCTATCTATCTATCTCCTTCATTCCTTCCTTCTCTCCCTTCCATTGATTCATATCTATCCATCTATCTATCTATCTATCTATCTATCTATCTATCTATCTATCTATCTATCTATCATCTATTTCCTTCATCCTTCCCTCCCTTCCACTGATTCATATCTATCTATCTATCTATCTATCTATCTATCTATCTATCTATCTATCTATCTATCTATCTATCTATTTCCTTCATTCCTTCCTTCTCTCCCTTCCATTGATTCATATCTATCTATCTATCTATCTATCTATCTATCTATCTATCTATCTATCTATCTATCTATCTATCATCTATTTCCTTCATCCTTCCCTCCCTTCCATTGATTCATATCTATCTATCTCTATCTATCTCCTTCATTCCTTCCATCCTTCCCTCCCTTCCTTCCATCCATTCATCTCTATTTGTATCTATCATCTATCTACATAATCTATCTATTCCTTCCTTCCTTCCTTTCTTCCTTCCTTCCTTTTCTCCCTTTCCCTGTTCCTTCCTCCCTCCCTTCCTTCCACTCCCCCTTTTTCCAAAGAAGTGTTCACTTTGCTTTCCTAAGGGGAAATTTTCAGGGTACATTTTACGTTCCATGTTGAAATTAGCAACCAGCCAATCTCTTGGTTAAAAAAATGTGCAGCTTCAAAGCGTTTTCTCATCGGTTGAAATGCCCTTCCTGGCCAGCTGGCACTAGATGGCATTGTGGGCTTAGCTGGGGGACCCGTCCACTTATCCTCTGCACGGGGAAAGTAAACAGCGGAGAGCTCTTAACAGCCCCCTCCCCGCCTCCTCGCTGCTTAAACAACCGGATTGTATTGCTGCAGCAACAAGCCATGTTCCAAACAGGAATGGCTTCAGCGGGTTAAAAAAAAAAAATGTTAAATTAGAAATGGAGGCAGCGTCACAAAGCACCTGCTTCTCAGCACTTCCAGGAAAAGGCGGATCAATGCAGGCCATAGTTAAAATTTAAGACCCCCTGCTTATGGTTTTAACATTCTAGAGAGCATTTGAGCTGAATGTTTCTACGAAAATAATTGCAGGTTGTTTTTCTGCGATTCTGCACACGGATCCGCGAGGAAGCAACTGACCAAGATGGAGGCTAAGCCAAACTCTTTCTAAGGGGTCCTTGCAGTGATGATAGTTTGGGTCATGAAACGTCTGCAAGGAAACCACAAAACTCAGAGAGCACTAAGGACCCCACTCTCCTCCTCCTCCTCCTCTCTGCAAATCCGCCTCTCCCTTCTAGCACTGATGCTGTTCCCTAGTTGGGTTATGAAACGTCTGCAAGGAAACCAAGGACTCTTCATGTCAACCTTGAGCTACCAATATTCTCCTTTATTAGCAAAAAATTGTTTTTCTCTGCTATGGCAGAGAATCGGAAAAATACACAACGCTGGTTTCCAACCGGTGCTGGAACCGATCCCAGCTGGACAGAAGCGGCAGGAACCGGCAAACGTCGTGAGATTAGCCGCTTGGAAAAGGATGACTGCTAATGAGGGGAGCCAGGTAGGATAAGGACAGGTAAAAGAGAGTGGAGGGGGGGGAAACACTTCAGGAAACGGGAGGATTTGGGCCGGTTCAAACCGGGCAGAAGAAAAATAAACTAATAGGCGTAACCACTCATGCCACAAAAGCCAAGATTTGGCCGGTTTCACCTTTGGCTCTTGTTTTTTTTTTTTTTTTAAGCTGGCTGTTCTGGCCAGGTGACTCAGCTTACCTCTGTTCTGTCAGTATGTCAAGGATGTTTTCAGCCAGCCAGATATTCTTGGAGGTGACGTCTCCACCTGCCAGCGGGGGGGGGGGGAGAAAAAGTAAGGAAACTTTGGCCGCTAAACAAACGGTTATTAAATCGACGATCACAGGAAAATTGGCAGCGGACCTGGTTTCAGAGTCACCAGGTGGGGAGGTTTGAGAAGAAGCGAGACGAACTGACAAGGATCAAGTCAGTTTCACCTCTCGGTTAGTGGCATTCCGGAGCAAACGCAGCAGCACCCTCAGGACACCCACCTGCGATCTGTTTCATGAACGTCATGCAATTCCCATCGATGCCGAGAATCCCACTCCTCACCATCTCGCGCAGCAACCAAACCAACTGAAGGAAAGAGAAATCACTCTGTCGTGGCGCTCAGGGCGGACCGTGCGTGCGCCTAGTTACGGAGCCCTACTGACGCCCGGTCACAGCTCCAGAGGCCTCCGCCAAAACTAGGCTGTCCTGAAACTAAAACCGCAGTTGAAAAAAAGGATATATTTTTTTTTTACGGTGGGCTTCGTGTCACAAAAAAAGGGATTGTGTCTTGGGACCACTCTAGAGATCCCAAACGCCTGGTTTTTCTTTCCCAATTTTGCTAAGGCTCCTTCCTTAAATCTGAGCCCCTCTTTCCCACGATTAACGCCAGATCTTGGTGGAAAATGAGTTTAGGAATTCCAGAAAGGACTTCAAGTTATTCCTAAGGTCCAAATCACTTCTGGGCCTAATTTGCCCCGGCCCACCCCTTGACACATCCCTCCCCACTTTTCAAGGGCTCCGAGAAACACAGCATCCCGCTTCCCACCTGGGTACGGCAGGAGTCTTGCAGCTTTAGGTATTTCTCCATGAGGATCTGGTTCATCTTGGTCAACACGGTGGTCAGCCCGTCTCGGCTCACCAAGGCCAGGTCTCGGTAACTCTGTGGCATGGGGGGGGGGGAAAGACAGGACGGATAAGCCCCCTTATATTGGTACATAAAGTGACAGATTGACAGCTGTCAATAAGCAGGAAGACAGGACGGAAAAAGCCCCCTTATACTGGGACACAAACGGACAGATTGACAGCTATCAATATCCAAGAAGACCGAGCTGGAAAATTTGCGGCAGAAGTGAAGGACAGCCGTTGCTTTGGCTCTGACGCCACCGAAATATTAGGATGCAGGAAAGGAAGAAAAATAATAGTAATAAAACCCACTGGCTGACTTGCCTCTCCATAAATGCTAATTTGTGTCACTAAATGTCACTCCACACCGGAAAAGAAAAAAAAAAAACAAGACGGAACTTTCCACCTTCCCCTTCCAGAGGTTAACGAGCTTCTGGAAGAAGCTTTTGATTAAATTTCTGCCCTGCACAGCCCCGGACGCCACCAGGAAAGAGCCGAGCTTGGCCTCTGGAAATGTTAAAAGCCTGGCTTCGAATTCTGAACAGGTCCTGCTGAGCAAGCAGGGCAAGGTGCTGGTCCCTTTGAACTGCTGAAGGTTCAAGCGGCTTCTTTAACCGCTGAAAGAAGGCGGAAAAAGACTGGGAGGGTGGGGGAGTGAAAGAAGAAGGGGGGGGAAGAAGCCCTATGCCCCACCCTAGATGAGCTATAACAGTGATGGGAGAGTCCGAATGTGCAAGGCTTCCAAAGAATGGAGAAACGGGGGTTATTCCTAGACAAACTTGCAAGGCTCCCAAAGGAGGAGCGGAGAAACGGGGGTTACTCCTAGACAAGCCGGAAGGAAAGTCTTGTTACCTTCTGTGCTTGAGCGGGCTCCGTCAGGATCATGGTGAAAAGACCCAGGCAGACCTCCTCGTGCTGGGGGGATCCTTTGCACACCTGGAGGAGTAAGAAGGGAAGGGAACAGCAGAGTGGGTCGCTTGGAGGTGGGAGGGAAGGAGGGAAAAAGGCACCGAAGCTCCCTTCCCACTGGTTTCAGCTGAAATCCTGGACCTCCAGAGAAGAACCCAGGTTAGATCCGAAGCCAAAGGAGCGGAGGAAACTCACGTGGGCATTCAAGGCGTCGTTGGCCTCCCTCTCGGAGAGCCCGCTGGTCAGAGAGGACACCGTCCCCATGCATCTTTCCAGCCTCTGGAAGGGAAAAGGGGAAAAGATGGGAGCCAACTCAGAGGAAAGTTCTGAAGATCTTCCGCTGGTGGTCCAAGAAGGCCTAGCAGTTCTTTGGATTAGGGGGGGGGAGATGAGGGTCACACTGATGGGGGAGAGTCAGTCCAGGGAGGGCTTGCCAGGAGATCCTGAGAGCAACTGTCAGGACTGTTGAGAAGGTAAAAGCTTCTCTGGTGACATCTCAAGGCTTCCATCCTTCAGAGGTACCCTTAGCCTTGAGAAGAAAAACAGAGCTGGATGCCAAGAGAAGGCTCCCTCAACGGAGACCCCAAGGCCAAGTCAAGAATTTCAGGGGCAGCAAAATAAATCTTTTATTTCTTTTTTCTTCCTTTCTGTCTCTCCTCTTCCTTGTTGTTCTTTCTTTCCTTCCTTTGCCTATCTTTCTCACTTCCCATCCCTCTATTTTCTTTACTTCATTCTATCTCCCTCCCTCCTTCCTTCTTTCTCTCACTCCCCATCCCTTTCTTTCTTTCATTCTATCTATCTATCTATCTATCTATCTATCTATCTATCTATCTAATCATTTCTTTTTCTCACTTCCCATGCCTTTTAATTTCATTCTTTCTCCCTCCTACTCTCCTTTCTTCCTTCTTTCTCACTCCTCATCCCTTTCTCTTTATTTCATTCTATCTTTCTATCTTTCTATCTATCTAATCATTTCTTTTTCTCACTTCCCATGCCTTTTAATTTCATTTTTTCATTCTTTCTCCCTCCTACTCTCCTTTCTTTCTTTCTTTCTTTCTTTCTTTCTTTCTTTCTTTCTTTCTTTCTTTCTTTCTCTTTCCTTCCTTCCTTCCTTCCCTTTTTAACCTCTCTGAGGGCACACCCTCCTTCCACACTCCTCTTGCTTCACCAGCTATCCTTTGTCACACCCTTTCCCTAACCCTGAGGGTCCCTTCTTAGCAGAAAGTGACAAAATGGGGGGGGGAGTCTCTAGGACCCCCTGAGGCTAAACCAAGCAGATTCTGGATCCTGTTGGAAACGATCCTAAAAACATCACCAAGAAGGTGATTTAAAAAAAAAAAAAACCAACTCGTTTTCCTAAGCTGATTTCCAGACTCCAAACATTTATTCTGGCAAGTGTTGACTGCCCTTCACGTCACCGATTGTGATGTTAGGCTCACACACTAGCAAATTGCTTCCCTTGTTTGGTGGCAAGTGCAACCAAAGACGCATGTTCAGGCCTTTTTACGTGCTCCGTCTCCAGTCAAGAATAATTTCTCTTTGCAGAGAACACAATTCATCTCTTTACAGGGAGACCTTTTATCCAGAGAGGTGGGAAAACCAGCAAAGGATTAAACTCATTCATCTCTTTGTAGGGAAACCTTATATCCAGAGGTGTGCGGATAAAATTAAGAAGAACTCAGCAGCAACAGACAGTTACAGCCACAGCTCACAGCACAAACTATGGGAAAAAACACATTTCGGTAACACAATTCCGGGTTTTATACTCCTCTGCCTCAACCAATCAACAGGCCCATTCTCCTTGGAGGGAAAATGACCCATAATTTTTTTTTTCCCCTGCATGTATTTATATTGGTGTGTCCCTCTGCCCAGCCCATCAATGTGGTAAGAAAAAAATTCAGGTAGTCCCCAACTTATAAGAGTTCGCTTAGTGACAGTTCAAAGTTACAGCCGCACTGAAAAAAAAGGAGTTATGAAGGTTTTTCCCAATTATGACCGTTGCAGCCTCCCCCCAGTCACGTGATCAAAACTCAACCGCTTGGCAACTGACTCACATTTATGACGGTCGCTGCATCGCCCGGGGTCACGCGATCCCCTTTTGCGACTTTCTGAGAAGCAAAAATCAAGGGGGAAAGCCAGATTCGCTTAACGACCGTGTGACTAGTTTAACAACTGCAGGGATTCCCTTAGCAAACGTGGCGAGAAAAATCACAAAACGGGGCCAAACTCCAATTTCTTACTTAGCGAGCTAAATTTGGGGTTCAGCTCTAGTCGTACGTCGATGGTGGGATATTAATATATCCTAGATATCTTTAAAAAATAAGTTTCCTCTGTGGATTAAGAAGAAGTTTGGTGTTTTTGTTTTTTGCAAAGAAAGGCTTAAAGCCAGCCTGGCTGGAGATCATAAAACCAGCATCAGCTTTCCAAGTTTCCAAATGAGGACATTCTCTTCCCTATCCCAGCCAGGATCAAAACACCACCCGCCTGTGTGACACCGAGACACCCACACACCATGCCTGCCACAAACACAATCACAGCCCCAGCTAGGGGGGCTCCACAACAGCTGCTTCTCTTCTCCTGCCAAAGAGGCTGAGGTTGCTCATCAGCCCAGAGAGCAGAGGAGGAGGAGCTGGAGGCAGCCCTGCCAAGCCAGGCAAAACTGCTGGTTTCTGGGCTGTTTGTTGGAAAGGGGTCCCTGACCATCCTGGGGCAAAGGAAAGAAAAGAGGGGGGAAGAGGAGGAGGAAAATGAAGGAGGGCAGAAGGAGAGGGAGATGGTGAGAGTAGGAGGAGGGGGAGAGGGAGGGAGGAAGAAGAGGGAGGAAGAGAAGAGAAAAATGAAGGAGGAAGGCGATGAGGGTGATGAGGATGACAGCAGGAGGAAGAAGGGAGGAAAGGAGAGGAGGGGGAGAGGGAAGAAGAAGAGGAGAAGGGAGGAAAAGGAAGGGGAAGGAGGAGGAAGAGGAAGAGGGAGAAGGAAGGAAGGAGGACAATGGCAAAACCAAGCACCCTGCAGCCTCCTCATCCAGCCTGGGGAGGCCAAGCAGAGCCTGAGAAGCCCCCTCCTCTCCGCCCACTCACAGTAGAGCCCCCCCCCCCAATACCCACCTCTTCCAACTCATCCTTGCCATCCAGGCTGGTGTAGATCAGCAGCTTCCCTGCTCCTGCTCCTCCTGCAGCCCCCCCAGCCGCAGCCCCCGAGCCCCCTTTCCCCTTCTGCATCTCCATGGGAGGGGAGAGGGGGGCGTCCCCCCTTCCTGCCCCTCAGCAAGCCTGCCTCTGTCCTCTCCCCCAGGGGGGGTTAGGAAGAGGAGGGGGGCAAGAAACAGGGGACCCCCCCACTCACCCCCCCAGGCTTTTGGGGGAGGATGGAGAGCACCCCCTGGAGGGGAGGGGTCAGTGGGGGGGTGCAGACAAGGGGGGCCCTAGCCTAACCCCCCCCTCTCGCCACATGGACACCACTTCTCTCTCTGCTTGGGGGGGGCAGGCCCACTTTTCAGCTTGGGGGGCAATAGAGGGGGCTCCCTATTTGGGGAGGGGACTCCAGCTACTATGGGGGGGGGGTCTATAGTAGGTTGTGTTTAACCACTGAATTGGGGGAGTCTTTCAGGGGTTGATCGGCCAAGGGGGGGGGTGTCCTGCTCCTAAGGGGCGGGGCTTAGGGGGCTGGGGGCTCCCGGGGCGGAGCTTCCGCCCCAGGAGGCGGGGCTTGAGCGGCGAGGCTGGCTGGGGAGCCTGTCGGGAGGCGCTGCGCCCTTTTTCGGGGGCGACGAAAAGGGGGTACAGAAAAGAGGGGGGCTCTACGCCTGGGGGGGGGAGAAAAGGGAGGGGGGAGCGTGCGCCGCCTCGCCCCCCACCCAGCAGCACAAGACCGGAAGTCAGAGCTGGGGGACGAGCGAGTGTGTGAGGGAGCGGGCGAAGGAAACGGCCCGGCCGGAAGTGGCCTCCTTTCCCAAGCGCCCGCCTCCTCGCCCTCCTCCGGCCTATCGTAGCTCGAAGGCGGCGGAGAGTGACAGGCGCCCTCCCGGCGGGCCAATGAGGAAGAGGCGGGGCGGGGAAAAGGGGGGAGGGGTCTGCAATGCCACTCGGAGGAGGACGTAGACTTAGGAAACGTGGAGAGCAGCCATCTCCCTGGTCGGGAACTCCTTTCCGGGTTAGCGATTATAGCTATCTGTAGGTCTAGAAAATAAGATAACCTTTATATTGAAATATACTCCTGCTTTGCAGTTAATATACAGTATCCACAGCAGATAACAATACAATAACAAGAAGAGTGACACCCATCCTCAATCTACTTTATGAAAGCATGGAGCTTGTCTTCACATGTCGTAGCTCTATGAAACCATGCCCGTTCTCCTTCGCGCATGCGCTGTTTTTCTCCCCTCGTCTGTTTTTGGGGACTGCCTCCATAGCCGCCTTCAGAGCTCAGCCCGCCGCGCATGCGCCCTCGCGTCCTTTCGAAAAAGACGGCCGCCTTAAGGCGCAGTTATTCCGCAATAAGAGCCGCGCTTTTGAATCGCCACGCATTCTGATCCCTTTTGGGCCTTGACCTCTGCAACTGTTCCCCTCTCAGAACTGCAAGAAAAACCCTGCCCCGATCCCTGCGTAGCTGCTCCAATGCACGCGTTCTCACAATCATTAGAGTGCAAATCGATGCGTGTCAGCAGGCACGTGTGCACGCAAGCTATGCAAGGTGGTTACAACAATGTTCCATTAAATTCCCAGTATTTATTCATCGAATTTATATTCAGCCCATCTCATAAATGCATAAAGGACCCTTGAGTGGCTTACAATAAAATGTATAGTATTAATTTGGATGTGTGTGTTTGTGTGTATATACATGTACATGTATATGTATATGTATTTGCATATATATATTGGAGGAAAAATACCCAGATTTATCACCATCAGCATGCCTACATTTATGCAGAGTGGCAGAACCTTATTTGATTATTCCTAGATTTATGGGCATTAAACCTGGTCCTCAGTTTACAACCATTCATTTAGTGACTGTTTAAAGTTACATTGAAAAAAGTGACTGTTATGACCCTTTTTTCACACTTATGACCATTGCATTATCCCAGTGATCATGTGATCAAAATTGGATGCTTGGCCACTGACTCATATTTATGACGGTCGCAGTGTCTTGGGGTCAGGCGATCCCCTTTTGCGACCTAGCGAGCAAAGTCCATGGGGAAGCCGATTCACTTAACAACCAGGTCACTAACTTAACAACTGCAGTGATTCACTTAACAGCTGTGGCAAGAACGGTCGTAAAATGGGGCAAAAGTCACTTAACTTTCTCGCTTAACCACAGAAAGTTTGGGCTCAAATTGTGATCGCTGAGTTGAGGACTATCCATGTTACTAACATCATTATTTTGTTCCCTCCCCCCCCCTTTTATCTCTGATAGCCTTGAATATCATTTATTTTTTTAAAGAACACTTAGATTTATGTTTCAAATAAACAAGCGTTTAGGGAAATGTTGGAAGGAAAGGAAAAATAAAAAGAAACTTGAAAGGAATTATTCCGGCAGAGAAACGAACCAAAACAGGCTGTTTGGGCGAAAAAAATATATTGGAGCTAGTTCCTTAAAAGCAAATAATTTCAAAATATTTCCAGAATGCCTACTACTAACTAAGCCATTCCAATTCCAGCTAAACCAAAGTTTGAAGGCTAATAAAATTACGAGGGCTTTGCCTTCAGAGAGAAGATGTTAAAAGGCAATTATTAATCTTTGATGCTTAAAACACAAATATCCATCCCAGCTTTTTTTTTTTCTTTAAAAGCGTGATTTGTAGCCGTTCAAAAAGACTGAAGATGTTTTCCACACACAAGGGAAATAAATCTTCTTGCAGAGGCTAAGTAATGCAATTGTGAAGAAGCCCAGAGGAAATGAAAAAAAGGGTCATTTAATTATCCTTTTTTCCCTCGTATGCGTAACTGTGTCCTTTTTTTTAAAAAAAGAAAAGAAAAGCAGGATACTGGAAATGTGTTTTTAAAAAAGCAAACGCCATTTTCTCCCTTTTCAAGCTGCATTTGGGTTTTTGACCTCGCTTTTTGGGGGGGGAGCACAAATCCTAACGTGATTTGCACACACATTTGTCAGTTGCTGAGTGTCTGAATTTGGTGGTCGTAAGTGTGAAAAACAGTCATTGGTCACTTTTTTCATTGCCGATGTAACTGAACGGTCACTAAATGAACTCTTGTTAAATCAAGGACGGCCTGTATAGATAGATAGATAGATAGATAGATAGATAGATAGATAGATAGATAGATAGATAGATAGATAGATAGATAGATACACACACACACATTCCCTTCCCTTTCTTGAAATCTACGGGGCACCGTTTTAGCTCCTCCGATTCGACGTTCAAGTTTTGCAAAGCTGCAACTGGGACTTTAGAGCATGTGCAGAGTGCCGCACAGCCACAAAAGCGAAATGAGGAGGGGGCTCCCGAAGCTTAAGACGAGAAAAAGAGTCTCTCCGGGCTTCACATCAACCAAAATTAACCGAGGGAGTTGGCCTATACGTTCCATTTATTGTAAAATCTGCAGCGCCCAGGAACTCCCAAGGGAGTGTGCACACTGTCACAAGAGTTGTGTAGGGTCCGGGCCTGCCTTAATTGGGACATTGACTCGACCACAGAAGTTCCAAACGTCCAACGTTCCCAGAAAAGATGACGGGGTGTCCCCTATAAATGATGGGCCTCAAGCCAACTTCTCCAGCACTTCCCATCATGCAGGTAGAGAAGAAGGCCGCTTCGTGATCATCTCCTGATCTCCTACACAATCTTTGGACCTGGGGACCAGATTTGCAGGGTGATGCAGAAGCGAAAGGGAAATTGGACGGGGGGGCAAGGATAGTCCTCTGAGGTTCATCTGTGATGCCCTCAACTCCAAGCCAATAAGTTCTCCAAAGACAGTCCGGGCCCCTCCACTAAGAAGGTGGATCTCCTTGAAGGAAGCAGGAGTGAGCGTCTTCTCCGTCTTCTCCTCATCCTCGGGTGCTGCTGACCCGTTCGCCCGTCAACCAGTACGTCCGGAGTTTCCCCTTGCCCTGTGAGTAGAGAAGAGATGGAGGAAAGAAGGTCTAACAGAGTCCAGGCAGAAGGTCCCTCCAGAGCCATTGGCCACCCAGGGACCGAAGAAACCACAAAAAATGCAGGACGCAGAGGCAGCGAGGACCTTCAACCCAGCAGACGTCCTCCTCACCTTCATCTCTATGTCTCCTCGGAGGTCCAGTTCAAAACACCCAAACTCTTCCAGGATGCCTTTGGTGGCCGCCGACAAATGGATCTTCAACGCTGTAATGACCAGAAGGTGCATTAGAACAGCTGGACAGAATATCTGGGTTAGAAGGAATGAACTGGAGAAAGGAAGTAGAGATGGAGACTAGTAGGCCATCCCAGCAAGAAGAACTCCTGAAGGACCACTGGATGCAACAATGAAGGAGATGGCCTTCATTGGTTCTTCTCAAGATGTTCTCCCTCCACCTCGCTTCTATCTTGCTTCAACAGGCTCAGCAAAAATTGTCCTCCACCAAGTAGACTCACAGTCTTCTCCTAGGTCAGTTATTTCATCATCTCCTTAGCTACCTACAAGCTTCCAGCTGGTGTGGGACACTCCAAACATCTATTCCAAGGGTCTTCAAACTTGGCCCTTTTATGACTTGTGGACTTCAGCTCCCAGAATTCCTCAGCCAGGCATGCCTGGCTGAGGAATTCTGGGAGTTGAAGTCCATAAGTCATAAAAGGGCCAAATTTGAAGACCCCTGATCTATTCCATTCCATTCCCCACCTTCTTTCTCCTTCTCCCTCTTCTTTACCTTCGCCGTTGGATTCCATGCGCGAAGCTGTGTTGACCGTGTCTCCAAAGAGGCAGTAACGAGGCATCTTCAAGCCTACAACTCCAGCGCAGACTGGACCTTGAGGAAGAAAATATGATGGGCCAGGAGGGTCAACGAGATGGTGAACATTTCTAACCACATCCTTTGGCCTGACTATAAGGAATAGTCTTAAAACCACAATATTCAGATTGAGCCAGGAATTACAGTGAATTTTTTTTGTTTCCTCCTATCCTGGCTTGTGAAGGATCTGGTTCTGAAGGTCGGTTTCAGAGATGAACGGAATGATAACTTGTGAGAACTGAAGTGCTGATTCTGGGCCTTGATTTAGATCTCCAGGGTGCCATCAAAGCCTGATTTGTGGCTATTTCCCGTTTTCTCCTCCCTTCCCTGAGAATCCTAGAATGTCTGTTGGAGAACTACCATTCAAAGTCACAACCCCAAGGCCTCCTTTGTCAATGCAGGAGAAATCACAACATGCAAATCATGGTTTAAGAGTCATTTCACGGTCAACCTTCATGGTCTGTCAAAGCTCATCAACATTTAGACCCTGCAAGAAACTGGGTGAACATCTCGACTACGTACATCAGATCTATGACATCTGAAGCACCACAATTGCACAATTTAACTTCTGGTCTCTTGCATACTAACCCCTGTGTTTGTGATAAAGACACACAAACAGCTCCTCACCACTATGGATCCCAATCCGCAGCTTGAGTTGCTGTTCAGGCCGATGGTGAATTTTGAAGTTGCGAACGGCTTCCAGAAGTGCCAGGGACATGCGGGAAATCTCGCGGGCGTGGAGTCGGCCGTTGCGGACCGGTAAACCGGACACCACCATGTAGGCATCCCCAATGGTCTCCACCTGGAGAAGGAAAAGAACAACGGTGCTCAACCTTGGTGGCTTTAAGGTGTGTGGACTTCAACTCCCAGAATTCCAGAGTTGGCTGGGGAATTGATGGATGGATGGATAGATAGATAGATACATAGATAGATAGATAGATAGATAGATAGATAGATAGATAGATAGATAGATAGATAGACAGATGATAGACAGAC